GTGGTGGTGGTGGTGGTGGTGGTGGTGGTGGTGTTGCGGTGTGATGTCAAGATCGTGTCGTGTATCCCTAGATTCCCTCCCCTCTCTGTTCCTAGCTCTTTTCGTTCTCGTGGTGTGGGCTGTTTTTGGTATTTTGGTATACAAGTACGAGAAAAAGTGACCTGATCATGGCCATCGACGACGATATGATTATGACGGAGGGTCGACGGCCACCTCCGCCACTAAGCCCCCGATTCCTTATCTGGCTCCTGCCCAATCATCGTCTCTCATTATTTTCCCTCTCGCCACGGCCGCCTCTCCGCTCGCTCTTACTTCTTGCATGAAAGTCACTCTGAGATATAAATTGTTGGAGTCGTCTTGTACTCTTCTTTTTTGTTCTCTCGTGGTGGGAAGAAAGATATACCCCGGTTTTCAAGTGTCCTGCGAATCGTTAAGGGAGGCCACACTCAGCAAGCTAGCGTCACGCCATTGTCGCGGAACTTGGGGAACAACATCCACACACACATCCACTGCCTATCCATCTCCTCGAGTCGTCGGTAAAGACACACTCCCCGGTCGCATCATCCACAACGAGTACGAGTACGAGTACGAGCACGAGATCCGGACCTATCCAAGACCCCTCCCGTACACAATCAAACCTCTCTTGGGGCCCACTTCAGCCTTGCGACGCAAAGATGGGTTCAGCGGGTGAAGTCGCTCAAAAGGGTGTGGAACAAGATGACTTGATCATGCCGGTACGTACTCGGTACAATGTCGTGCTTCGTGTGACGAGGTGCTTCGCATGCCAGACTCCCCACTAGTCCGCGCCATTGGAGGCCCTGTCCACAGACATTCTGCACCACCTGCCCCTTTCTCTTCCAGTCTCAGATACACCACCTTCCTCTTTCGACCACCAGGCCATGTTTTTTTGACTTGTCACCAGTTGATTGACTTTGGGGCCTTTCTGCATGGGTCTCCAGCCGCCAAAAAGGCCACGGCCGAGCAAATCTCCCACGCCTTCCACACGTCAGGCTTCCTGTACCTGCAGAACCACGGCGTCCCCGCAGACCAGATCTCGCACGCCTTCTCCCAGTCGGCCGAGTTCTTCAAGCGGCCCCAGGAGCAGAAGGACGCCCTGAGATGGACGACCCCGGACGCCAATCGCGGCTACGTGACCTCGGGCCGCGAAAAGGTGACGCAATCTAGTGACCCGGATGTCATCGCCAAACTGCGTGCCTCCAACCCGGATCTGAAGGAGTCCATGGAGATTGGTCGTGAGGGCGTCGAGGGGAAACCCAACCAATGGCCGGCACACCTGGACGAGGCTGGCGCCGCCTTTACCCGGGACATGCAACAATTCTTCCTCACGCTGAAGGACCTGCACGTCAATGTCATGCGCGCCATCGCGCTGGGCATGGGCATGGACGAACACTTCTTCGACAGCTACACGGACGGCGGGGACAACACGCTCCGACTGCTGCACTACCCACCCGTCAAGAAGAGCATTTGGCGGGCGAACCCGAACCAGGTCCGCGCAGGCGAGCACTCGGACTACGGGTCCATCACGCTGCTGTTCCAGGACGACATTGGTGGCCTCGAGGTCAAGTCCCCCAGGGGCACGTGGGTGCGCGCCACGCCGATCCCGGGCACCATCGTGGTGAACGCGGGCGACCTGCTCCAGCGCTGGAGCAACGACCAGATCCGGTCGACGAACCACCGCGTGATCCAACCCCCGCCCAAAGCCGAGCTCCTCGACGACGAGGACCCCGACGCCACGGTCCCCGCGCGCTACAGCATCGCCTATTTCTGCAACCCCAACTTCGACCGCTGGATCGAGGCCCTCCCGGGCACCTGGGAGGAGACGGGCAAGAAGTACGACGGCATCAACAGCGGGGACTATCTGGTCATGAGGCTGGCTGCGACTTATTGAGGCCTTTCCTTCGGCCTTCTTCTTAACAATAAATGTGGACTCTTTCGGGGGTAACCTGATTTAAAGGGGTCAAAGGGGCCATCCGCGAACCATGATCATGATCAGTGTGAGACTAGCTAGGGTGGAGCACGTTGGAAGAAGGGAAAGAGGACGCCCCCGGGATGTACAAGACTACCTGATCTCGCATGTACCTTGTAAACATTCTTTACAACTACGAGTATCTGAGATACTGATTGGAGCCTCCCCAGTGGATAATATACTCGGTACTCGTACATCGCGAGGGGGGATGTATTGTTTGACCCGAACAAAAAAGCTTTGTTGTTACTTCCTCGAATCGTCTATTCTCTTCCTACCTCTTAATTCCACCCCTTTTCTTTTCCATAGACTTCCCTTGTGTGGAGAGAGAGGGAGAGAGCGCGCCTCGTCGCAATCGACGGTAATCTCATGGAAATGAATCAAGATGGGTATACCGAAGGAGTATATGTGGGTATATGGTATACGGTAGACAAAATAGATATATATAGTGATATCCACCCTCCCAGCCGCACCAGAAGACACCAAGCATCAAAACACTCCAAAAAACGCCAAAACACCAAACATCGGGTGAAATCATTCGTTATGGATTGACATGGTCGAGAAGAAGAAAAAGAGAAAACCCTTGTGACAAGAGGGAGCTTGTGTCGAATCGAGTTGTATCCACCCCCAGATCCATTCCAGATCGACCCCTAGTCAAGATCAAGATAAAGAACAAGTCTATGCTTCGCCGCCGACAGGACCTCGTCGGCCCGGCATGCCTATTTCGCCCGAATCTTGGTAGAGCTGCTGCTGTGGCTGGCCCGTCCGGCCCGTGTCGGTCACGAAGATCCCCGGCGCGGGTTGCCTGGGCATGGTTATTGTCGGTCCAGGTCCAGGTCCAGGTCCAGGTCCAGCTCTCGCACCACCCATGGCCATCACCTCAGGAGGTTCGGTGGTCGGGTCACTGATGCTGGCGCCTCGCGAGCGGCCGCCAAATCTCGCGTACTCGCCGCGGCCGTCGCGGTCGCCGCCCCTCATCATAAAGTCGCTGAATCCGTGGCCCTCGGGTCTCCTACTTCCCAACTCCCAGTCTTGGTCGTCAGCGCCGTCGGCACGAGCGCCCACATCCACGCCGAACCTCCGTCTCTTGCCTATGAGTCGCCGCTCGCGCCACCAGCCCATACTGTAGCGGTTCCCGCCAAAGACTGTTTCGAACTGGGACGCGGGCATCCACTCGGCGCCGTTGGAGATGATCTGGTGACGTTCGTCGGCGTCCTCGCTGTTCTCGTCGGGCCCTGCGTGGATTGATTCCGGTCTGTTGCCGGCGTCGTATCCAAACGACCGTCGACGGGGTTTCCCGCAGCATTCGCACAGGCCGTCGTCGGTGCTGTGGCACAAGTCGCTGCCCGCGAGGAGGGACATGGTCCCCGCGATCGAGCACGGGTTACACGGTAGGACGCGGCGGAACTTCGTCGTCAGCCATGCCGATGCGGCCAAGGCCGTCATAATGCCGAGGAGGATCTGTAGGATTAGTTTGCTGTCCTTGTCCTGGACGAGGCGCGGGGTGTCTACTGTGGTCGCCGAGGTTATTGTGGAAGAGCTCTGGCGTCGAAAGAGGCGGGACGAAGTGCCCAGGTTGTTGACGGGGCCGCGCATGTTTGCCGAGATGGTTTGAGCCATATAGATTCGATAAAATCGGTTGATTGCGCCAATGAGGACATCCTGGTTGTTTGGACCGGCTAAAGACGCTGGATCGTGGGGCTCAGAGCCGTTGATTATTGCTTGGAAGAAGATGTCAAACGTGTTTGTACTCGAAGGATTGGTTGCCGGTGTGCCACCCGCGCCGTTGAACACGGTCATTTCCTGAGCGAGGTTGTTCTGGATGCGAAAATCGAACGTCTTCACACCACTGTTGTTGCTAAGCGGATTGTCGTGGAGGAAGATGCTCCTCTCATCCACTGCCGGGGGATGGCTGGCATCAATGGTCGTGCTGTTTGGCTGCAGGGTCACATTTGCGTTGAGGCCCTGGATTTGTTGATAGCACACCATTGTCGTCACTTGACTTGTGTCCGTGCTGTCCACCTGGAAGTGGCCGAAAGTGAACGCCAGACTGGGACAACCAACAGGAGGATTATCACTTATGTATTGACCACGATTCTCGCCATAATTGCCATATGTTGTTGCATTATCGCCAAACAACAGATCCAATTGAGCTCCGGCAAATGTTCCCTTTCCACCTGGCGGTAATTCGAAGTTGTTCTGGTAGAGAACAAAGTCATCTGTACCTTTGGAGCCGCCGAGATGACACGAGTCGGGAAGGGCTGCTCTGGCCGTGATGAATGCTTGATCCGTCGCGTACGCGCTGCCGTCGCCCGCCTTTTCTGTGGATAAGGAGAAAGAGTCACTCGGAAGAACGTCGCATTTGAGATTTGCTCGAACAGCTGGTAGCACGTGGGATGATGACCCAGACACTGTTGTGAGTGAATTCGTCGTCAATGCGGAGTTGTTCAGCGACAGCTTTGGGAACACGAGACCCTCATACGTAAACTGTGGATAGCTGAAATTCTGGTGCATGATCAGATTCGTGATGGCTGCCGCCCCGTTGTCATTAGAGAAGCTGTTCTGCCACTGAAGATCGAAAGAGTCAACTTGAGTAAGCGAAATACTCGCCCCTTCAACCGAGAAGTGCTGGACGTAATACAAGCCCGAGGCGATCACTGTAAGGACACTCGCGGCGGCCGCGGCGGTGATACTCAGCATGGCACCGAGGCTCCGCGTCCTCAGGGCCTGTAAGAACGCAGATAGAGGTGATCTCCCGAGAATGTTGTTGAGGACTGATCTTCTGTGGATCGCATTTCCTTCGGCAAGGTTGTTCCACGGAGTGAACAACGCCACGTTGAAATCAAGCATATTGATCAACGCTGCCAAAATCAACATGACGAGGCCGGGGATGTAGTGACTGTAGATTTCCGTCCACTTGTCGTCCGCGACGGTGTAAAACCCATTATGATCGTCCGATTGCCGTTGAATAAGCTCCAACGCCACAATGAGGCCCGCTGGCAGAATCAATGTGAGCGTCAAGAATGGAAAGGTTGCGCTAATCGGCACCCACCACTTGATATCCATGGACGGCTTGGTGACCGGTTCATCTGGCTCGCCTTCTGACGTGACAATCTTGAAGCTCCTTGTCCCAGAATCAGTGGTCGCGATGGCTGTCCCAAATTCGAAACCTGCAAGGACTGCTTTTTGATTCGCACGGCTCGGTGCTCCCTGCTTCCTCAGTAATCGATTCAGCTCGGTGCTTCTAGTCAGAATTGTCGCAACCGCCGCGATAAAGCCTGGGTCTCGGGGAACAACCGCTCGCGGGGCGATGAAAATCAAGGCAATGCAGAACAGGAACAGTAACCCGGATGCTGAAGCCATTGTCCACACAGAAACGTCGTTGACCCGAAGCCTCTGTTCTTGACGAGTCACTCTTCCCCCCTCCAGACTGGGGCTGTCTACCGCTCTCAAAACTTGATGAGCATACTGAGATAAAAGTCCATTGGACGTGTCTTGAGCAGCTGAGATCATTGTTTCTGGGGTTTTCAAAGTAGCGATGTCTTGTGAGCCCTGCGTCAGCGCCATGAGCGTAAATATAGCACTCGAATCAGAAATAGTGTCGTCGTTAACGGTATCGCCAAAGAGGACCTGTGCGGCAATTGAGGCTTGTGAAAGGACATTGGTGGCATTCCAAGCCGAAAATCCCGAGAGTGTGCTATTGCTGTCTCCGTCTTTCAAGGTGACCGTTACGGCAGCATTATTGTTGAGTAGCTGGGTGTTGTTCGTAACCTGGACCCTCGCCATTGAATACGAAGGAACACAAAACACATTCGTTATGTCGTTAAGAATCCTGGAAACGCCACTGGCGATGGTAAATGAACCCCCTGCAAGGTCAGTCGCATTGTCGAATAGTGTCTGCTGATAACTGATGTCGGTAAGGGTGAACAACAGTCCTTCCGGGCCATCTGAATCAGGTACACTGGCATTTGTGCCTCCACAGAAGATCTGCTGCATCGTGCCTGTAACCTGGCGCTTCGGGAGAATCTCAGTATAGGGGTTGTCCGCTGGAACGCTGACTGAAGAAAGTTGGCGGCACACATCACCTGCATTGATGTTGAAGGTGATGTTGGTCGAGGTCGCAAATGCGCTCGCTGAGTTTGTGTCGTTCACAATTCGCGGAGACTGCAACTGCACACTTATTGTTTTGCATGTCATATTGGGTACAAACGCATCGACTTCACCAGATATGATCGCATCGTTCCCAACTGGAGTGTCAGAGCTGACTGTCAAGGCACTGTATGCCAGATCGAACCTAACGCCATTTTCCAAAGGCACACCCTGAGCCATACTGCCATAGTACGCATACACCGGCTGAGCCGGAAACGTCGAAGAATCGAGTGCACCATTCGGGTCGAACGAGGCGGCGCTGAAGCCTCTTGCATGCACAGTCGCGCTCTTTTGAACCACTTCTGTCGGAAGAGCCACCACCAATCCCGTTGCAAACACCGTGACAACTTTTAATAAGATAAAACCGGTAACCGACGCAATAACGGCAAAATGACTGTTTTTGAACGCTTCGAGTAATGATACAAGCTGAAAGGTCGAGATGTAGTCGACTAAAAGACTTTCGGACGGTTTGACCGGGCCGTCTTGGAGCGCGTCGTAGGGCATAGCCAGTTTAGAATGGTAATCCACCATTCTCCACGCGGCCACGACGACGACCACAATGACAGTAGGCGTGTAAGTCCAGGCATAGTGGTTCGTCCCCGGGTCGATATGGAAGCCATCGTTCTCTGCATCAAAGTGCCAGAGGAGGATTAGCGCGATCAGAAATGCGACAAAAATAAGAGCAAAGAGACCCAGAAACCACTGCTTCAACCAGATGGGAGTCCACATGACCGGCATCGGCCCCGTTGAAGGGAGGAGATAGGCATCGTCCGTAGCGGCAGCCGAGAACGGGCGGAGTTTGATGGACTCGGGTTCGTCTTCTTCTGGGACTGGGGAGATGGGAACATAATTGCGAACTCCTGGTCTCTGCGAGAATCTCGGGGCATACTGTCTGGCGACTGGAGGAGCGTGTATTGAGGGAAAACGAACGGGGCCTGGTGGTTGTTGCTGTTGATCGACCGCCGCCGCCGTCGCCGTCGCCGACGATGACGACTGCTGGGATTCTTCTGGCGAGGGTTGTCTGACTTCTGGTAACAGTTGCTTGGAGCTGTCGTCTCTGACGGCCGTCCGAGCAACTTGAGCACGGCGTTCAGCTTCGGTGATGGGAACATCGAGGAAGGCGCTGCTTCGACTGTCTTCTTCCATGATTTAGGCTAGAAACGGCGGAAGGCGACATTGTTGGAGTGCTCTTTGCTCAGGTTAATCCATCATCGTCGTCGTCGTCATCATCTTCTTCTTCTCGCTCATTTGTGCCTTGTTGTTTCGACTTTGTCACTGTTGGTCTGTGATAAGATAGATAGTCGAGAAGATGTCACGATTTCTCACCCGAAAAGTGTTTTGGCCTTTCTTTCTTTTCTTTCTCCCGATGAGGATGAGTTTTGGGACTTTTCAGGCCAGAAATCCGAAGTTGACCATTTGACGAGGTCGGGTCAAGGCTAGGCACAGGGGACAAGGACAAGGTCAGGAAACGAGAGGGGACAATATTAAACGGGTTGACGGGGCTGCTTGCTCGCTTCGCACCAAAGCAGGGCTACAAGGAACCCCCCGAAGGTTTGAAAGGCCCAGACGCTCCTCAGCCGCAAATTCAAAGAATAGCAGCACACCAAGAGGAAAAGTCTGGGCATCATTTGGGGCAAATCAGGCATTTTGGGTCTGGGGGGCCCGAAGCTTCGCAGGGGAAAAACCGCCAGTCCTGGGGGCCCCAACTCGAAAACAAAGACCAAACACGAAACACAGCCTTCATCTCGGGCCTTGGAAGCTGGACTGGTTCTGGTTTAGCACGCCACACGAGGGCCTTGTTCACTCGCCGTTCCTTCAGCCTCTCATAAGAAAGAGATGCACAGGACGCCTCCGACGGCCTCCCCTCGAAGCTTCGGCAAGCCACCCTCGCTGTAGCGTGGGTCCTCTGGTTGCTGGCTACGTGCCGGTGCTCACCTGCCACGCCTGCTTACTACTGTTCAGCCTACCCTTGAGTATTCGGTACAGGACGAGTAGTACCCTTTCTTCTGCGTCGGTGCCCACGCTCGGGGTCTGCGCCCTCCCCAGCCTACCAATGGACGGATTAGGTACCAGGCGGACCAAGATCGTTGCAAAGTTCCGGTCGATCACGATCCCGTCTCTCCTCCCCACTCTTGTGAAGCCACAAGAGGTATAAGCACCAAAACGGTGGTTTGTTGACGCACATGATGACACGAAAGAGACGGGTGATATTGAAGGGGTGTTTTAGACAAGGGACCAAGTCTTCTTTGTCTCAATTGCCCGACCAACAGACTCGGAGCCGAGTTTATTGCACGACCGCACACGAGCACAGCCAAAAGCAAGTGGACATAATAATCAGAGCAAAGACGACCTAAGCAGCATTGCATACGATAGACGAGCTTATTATATCTTGCTCAAGCGGCGTGAGACTCCGCAAACAGCGAGACAGCGACGCTTATACTCCCAGACTCCGTAGGTGGCACCCGGGGCCACCCTCCCTTCCTGCATTCCTTCTGATCCTTGACGAATTTATAGTCTCACGTCTCATGCGACATGGACAATCAGAGACACTTTTTTCCGGCCCTGAATTGGATCCTCTTGATTGCACAAATAACTATCCAGCCTCCTGTATTGTCATCAGCGGCATCTCATGAACCACCGTCATAAAATTCTTGGAGCTCTAGGAAACACTCCGCCTGGTCATCCAAATATCGTTCCCATTGACTCCGTACTCCTCGCGCTCGACCAATGTGTGTCCATGCGCGCCGCTAGAAGTACACCATCGTCAAATCACTTTTTGTCCCATTGAACTCGATAAGATGGCACGGTGAGAAGAAAGGGTGGACAAGCCTCCGACTAGACAATCATCTGGGCCACACCGCGTCCACCTAGTGTCGTGCTTCCCACAAATTCCTGCTGTTTCAACCCCGCCAGTGCATAGCAAGCTCCCGCGAGGGCCAATACTACGGCGGCGGCAATCAAGCTGCTGGCTTCCACGATGATGCTAAGCCACTGAACCAGGGACATGAGGCCGTAAATAAGGGCGCGCATGTAGTTCGTGGTGAAGCGTTTGATAAAGGCATCGAATTTGGCGGATGTAGGGCAGATACGTAGCAAGAGTGGAATTTCGATGAAGATGAGAACCAGGGAGGAACAACTGCGCTCAAGTGTCAGTCATACGACATGGTGATTTGTGAAGGTTGGGGAGAGACGCACAGTAGGATGATGCTGAATAGAATGAGCAGGTTAAAGTGGAAGATATTGGCGATACCCAAGGCAAATCCCAGGATGATGCATAGCACTCCGAGCCTGTTGATAGACATGTCAGCCTATCTTATTCCATGACCTGTAGCCGGCCCCTAGCCGTGCCCCACGATTCGTTCAATCGGGGATGAAAAGCGTGGATATCTTCATAATAAAGATCCTGATGCGCAAAAGATCACAAGAGATCGTGGGCGAGGAGGCGTGGAGTGACCAAGGGACTTCTTACCACTGCCCGTAGATGCCTGCGGACAGCTGTCAGCTCCGGTCCAACGCAGGTCGCAACGCCGACCAAAAGAGAGAGAAACTCACTAAAGTTGCGCATTTTGAACTCGTCCATGAGCGCCATCGTGAATATCTACTCGCCCAATGACACCCGGGGAAAGATCAGGAATTGAGAAGTCGAAGAGGACAGATGTGGCACAACGGCACTGTTCTTTCAATGCAGCTGAACTATGTTGTTGCGCGGTTTGAATCTGGCTCGCTCGTCGCGGAGGCAATGCTGACTTGAATCGTTATGTCGATTTGTATGTAGGACGTGAAGGTAAGGGGATAGGAGGGATCAGAGGTGAATGGGCTGTTGCTGTTGCTGTTGCAAAGATGTCTGTTTCTGATCAAAAGTTGTCGACGACGGATGACGGACTTGGTTTGCTTGGGATGTTGTGGCAGGTGCAACACCGCAGAGACAGGGATGAACCGTAACTAGGCGTAGGCGTCGAGACTAGCGCAGGGCAAGCTGCTTGGGTGCTTAACGAGGACCACAATAATAATATTTTGGAGGGGGCCTCTTTACTGGTAGGAGGTTGGATGGATGCCCGTACGTGTACCTAGAACTCGGTACGAGAACCTTTTCTTCGGCGGCTCAATCTCAGACTTTGACGAAGGATTCTGGGTTTCGACAATAATCGTTCCAGCAACCCTTTCTTATGGGATGCAGGCGCAAATGTAGCAGCCTGACTGTGCACCCACAACCGAAGGAGCGCGTGGCGCCATCAGAACCACCTCCACCGTCCCAAAGTCTTATTGTCCACGTATGGCGTCGTAGGCGTCTCGGACCGCCAACAAACCATGTTAGGCCACTCGGGCAGCCGGGAAACTCATTTACAAGGACTCGGGAGAAGTTGGAATTGTGGCAGCCTTGTCAAAAGTTGTCGCTTGCTAGGCACGTGCATCTGGACGTAATTTGTTGTTGGTGGTTATGTCCCCCATGCGCCCATCTATCATCACATCACAACTGCCTCGCTCCCGTATCCTTACTCTCTGCTCAATCCCTACACTGTCGTTCCTGTCCACGCTGCGCCATCTGCTATGCTTGTTGACCTATCGTGTGCACCGCACCCTTGCTCGAGACCCGCGATTTGCAGAATGCCAGAATCGGTACCACCCGTTTATGGTGCCGGCGACGGATCTATCCACTTGCGGCATACACCACTACCGAGACTTGTTAGCATTTTCGACGCCTGCTTCGTCATGAATGATTCCACCTACGTCTGAAGACGTCGTTGAACACGAAGTAGCTGCCGCCCTCGGGATGCAGGTTGAACGTCTGGACGTAGCTCATGGGATGTTGTTGATCATCGACCTGTTTGTGTAGTGTCCATTAGTGACCCCGCCGCCAGCGAGAAGCCATCGAGGTGAGGTTTTTTGTAAGACCTACCAGTAATGCACCAGTCACCATAACCAAGATGCCTCCTTGCTCGTTGGATGGCTGCGCATCTGTCGTGTCGACCCGGTGTTGGACTTTTTGGAAAGGTAGATTCTGCGATACCATTCCGCATCAGTGACTCTTGCTTGCCCGGGACATTGTAATAATCGCTCCGACCAGAGCCCACCACGTTGACGTACCGTAAGCTTCTCAAGAATAGACTGCGTGCCCAAAAACGGATCTTTCTCGAAGGTAAGCATCGACTTGTCTCTCTGTGTGCGCACAGTCGTGTCAGAAAAATCATCATAGCTCTTTTCTTCCTCCCATCCTCCCTCCTCTCCCGACTCAACTTGAAGACCAGGCGCAAAGTGGGTTTGTTAAAAACGTACGTAGAGGGCAGCCAGTTGCGTGCGATCGCCGTCAAAGGTTTTGTAGTAGAACTCGACGAATTGCTCTGTGTCGCATTAGTGTACTGCTCAGGGTTTCTCGGGAGGGACAGGAAGAATGCTCACGGGCGATTTGTTGGAAGTCTGTATTTTTTTTTCAGGTATCAACCTCCCTGTTAGTCCACATAGTTCCTGAAGAGGATATTACGTGCGCCCGCTGGTAGGAAAGCCAGCCAGTTCGAGACGATGGGCTGCGAGGGGCTCAAAAAACATACCTCCCATCTTGACTGTTGTTTGCGATTTTTATCTCCGTCAAACAGGTGATTCGGAAAGAATTTGGTGGTGGGGGAGGGAGGGCGCGGTGCGCAGACACTGGAGTTTTGTGGGCTTGCTCGTGCAGTAGTGGTGGTTGGTGCAAGGGGGGAAAACAGTCGAGTATGTGTATACAAAAGAGCGAGCAGAGGCGTGCTTGTGACCCCGCGGGCCTTAAGGGTACCACCGACACACAAGTTTACCAATCCTAATTAATTACTCGTACTAATACTATTACGACCGCCTGGCGCTGTTGCTGTTTGGGCGGCAGGTGACCACTCAGCGCAGCCGGCCCGCAGAGCCAGATCCCGCCAAGAAAAGTTCCATCGACATCATTATTCTTTTTCTCTGTGTTTCGTTGACGCTCTTCCTCCTCTTCCATCTCTCATCTCCGTGAATTTCTTCTCTAGTAGTTCGACTCATTCGCCGTCCTACCAACACATTCACCCCTATCGCCTTCTTTGGTAAGCCAACAGTCACCCTTCTCATCTCCCTTCATTCCCTGCCCTTGACTCTGTCCGTGCATTGAAAACAGCTCCGATGATTTTTACTTATATGCTCAAACGATAACTGACGAGACGGATCCGGCAATGTCAAGCCATCCGTCGGTGACTTTAAAAATTATGTCAAGTCTCAACAGTATGAGGAGCCACGAGAGACAATGCACGATTCCTCTGATCTATTCCTGTTCATTACCTAGAAGCTCATTACAAGAATCCTCTGCTAACTTTTTGCTCAAGCATTGATACAGATGAACAAAATACTTTATCCGAACTTTGTCATGAAAGATTCAAAGGAACCGAGCTGTATCAGGGGGTCCTTGGGCCAATTTCATGAATGTAGTTTTATTACCGAGTTTGTAATAACCAAGATTTCGCGTCCCGAAGTCTCGACGACTTTATGCATCGAGCTCATCACCTGGATGGCATCGATTATAAATCCATACTCAAATCCAGGACTTCTCCCATTTTCCATAACCACCTTCATAGCTTTCTCTCTCCAGGAATACCCAGAGAATAGAGATTATCCTCTCTTTCCCCCTCTTCCGCTTCCACGTTCTCCACGCTCGCCTTCTCTCTTGTGCCAGGGGTCGCTAGGCCACACCCATCCCCTAACCGTCCTCGCTTCCCGTTTCTCTCCCATCTGCGGTTCAGGGATCCACTTGTCCTTCCCATCTTTTCCCAATTCCTCAACATCTCCGTCCTCATCGACCGCAAGCATACTACCACCGAGTCCTCCATCCCAGACTCTTTGTCGAGTTAGTGTTCCGGGACCGCCCACATCCATGAAGCTACCCAGCTGGCCGGGTAAAGGCGTCGCTTTGGCGAGCATAAGAAGATAATACAGAGCCAAAGTGACAGTCATGTCAACTTCACCTGCTGCCTCCTTCCCATTCCGAGCAAAGGTCTTGGTCTCCACTGCCTCCGCAACTTCAAGGTAGCCGAAATACGGATGGCCACGGTCGTCGCATCCGGCACGGACGCAGACGAGTTCGATCTCTGTGATAATGAAGCCATAACGGCAGCTGTGGTCTCGCATGCATTTCTGCAGATGCGCCAGAGTGCGTAGATACTCGACCTTGCGTGCAGGGCCTTCACGGCGCATGCCTGTATTCCAGCGATCAAAAGACCGGACCAAGCCGACAACGCGGCCTCGGGGGAGTCCTGAGAGCGTACGGTCATTGTCGCTCGGGTAATTGGCCAGAAAGGTGGGAATGTTGGCCGAGTTGGCACTCAACCCAGAGCTCGTTGGGGTTGGGGCAGGGTACAGAGCGACAGAGTTGGTACCGAGGGACAGCCGTGTAGCAGCGTTGACCTTGGGAAAGTAGATCTTGGAAATGAGATTGGCGAGATCGGCTTCAGAGGCAGGTGTCACAGTGTTCGCGTTGGTGCCCATCAGAGGTAGGCAGGCTTTGTCGTGTTCGAAATTAAGTAGCGTCAGAAGATCAGGGATGGCAGACATAGTCTGGAGCGAAAACGATTTCCAGGGTCGGACGTTGCGAATATCCCACCAAAAGTGGTTCGTTAGACCACGGCCGGTTTGGAAGGTGAGATGCCGAACTAGGTTGATGGGCTGCGTTGGTTGTGTCAAGTAGCTGAGCATACTGATCGTAGAGACGGCTGGCAGCATGGGAGGAGGACTCATAGAGCAGGGTCTCGAGATCGTCTCAAGATCAATTGGCATGTCAAACGTGCCCTCCAAATTGATAATAGGAGGCTCAGCCATGGGAGCATTGGTATATGGCATAAAGTTGGTGGCGAAGAGGTCCGGAGACGGGGTTTGGTGATCGTGAGACACATAGACGGGCATTTGGCGATAAGTAGGATAGCCAAAACGATTCAGAACATCGCTGTTGATGCTCGATGCAGAGGTCGAGCGGGAATGAGTCCTTACGGGCACATTGAGCTTGACCTTGGCCAGTCCAGGAGATGGATTGAGTGAGTTCGAGCGCGAGTGAGGCGCATTCGATACTGGAGATATCATCGGTGTATATTCAACAGGCTCAGTCGCGCTCCTATACATGTTAGGGCGAGCATGTTTGGAGTTTTTGACGACGGTCGACGAGCTCCTTCGATGGATGGAGGGTCGATGAACGAACGGAGGCTCCAGAGTCGAGTCCTGGGTTCTGATCTTAGGAAGCAAAGTCGGGCCATGTTGACGGAGAACTGGCGATCGACTGGGAGTTGTATTACAAGCAGTAATTACCGGCTCAGGCGAGCTGTCGGCTGCAAAGTAGGACGAGCGAGACACATTCCGAATATGGCTGTGCTGACCAGCAGCTCCAGCAGCCTCTGGAGGCGTGAGTGGTCTATAGTAGTAAGGTGCCAATGACATTCTGAGACCCAATCAGCATCTATGGTTGCAGCCAGGCAGCATCGTGAAGACAACTTACATATGATAGCTTTTGAGTCGAGTCCGGGAGAACTTAGTGGTCAGCGAGAAGCCAGCTTCTCGGGGTGGATACAAGGACCCAAGGAACAAAGGAAAGGTACAAGAGGAAAAGCAGATGGGATTACCAATAACAGGCAGACTGAATCTTCAGTCTTGCAACTTGAAAGAATGAAAGGCTCAGAGATCTTGAGAGGGAGGGAGGACTGGGTATAAATGGGTTGGGGGTATGCGACCGAAATCGAGCATCATGACGGCCGGCCAACAGTGTCCCGCGGGTCAATACCCACCTGAAACGTGGAGCAAGATGGCAAGGAAACAAACACGACTGACACGGTGTTCGAGAATCCTATGCTGGAAAACCAACGATGGTCAGGATCGCCTTCCGATCGCGAAGCGTGGAGCGTGGTACGCGCCAGAGGTATGGAAACATTGCGCCATATGCAGCTATTTTGGGGGGCAGAAGCGTGGCCTGAGGCTGCGATGTTGCTCAGATGGAGTGTAACAAGGCTCCGGGCGAATTCATCATGTCTTACGAGGCAATCTGTGACGGCGCTTGCCTGGTTATTTCGAGAGATGAGAAGACATGCGACTTGGCGGCTGTTCGATGAGGCCCAGGAGGAGAGGCCGTGGTGGCGGCAGCTGCGGCAGTCTGAGGAAATGAAAGAGTACCCGAGGGGGTGCAGGGCGTGGCTGAAGCGCGCTGCGAGATCCAGCAAGAATCTCAATGCCAACCTTGTCCCTCAAATCGAGGGCGCTTGGAGATTCTATAGCGACATACAGTATTTCATTGGTGGTGAGATTGGCGCGCGATGCAAAAAATACCCTGCGGGGTGGAGGGACGAAGGTGGCGCAGCACAGGCAGAACCACTGAGTATATCGGGCAGGTTTTCCGATATCGTTGCCAAGGACTCGAGTGCGCGCGTTCACCGCCTCGCCGTCCACGCGCGAAATTGGCACCAAGTCACCTGCACCAACTGCGCATCTTATGCATCTGCTGCAGTAGTTCCGCATAGTCCCAGCACGAACAACACGCGAACGTTGAACGACTATGGAGTATGATAACGTCTTTCTCTCGACCCAACCTCCTCGTTTGCATGCATCTGTCATCTTCCTGCATCGCTTTAGTATCACTCTAACATTGCTCACTCCATCCTCACTGGTGCCCAGCGGCTTTGGAATCGAGCCCATGTTTCATCTTGCTAACATCAGGCTCGAAACAGGTCAAGATACTGGCCGACTCCGGGCTGAGCTGCAATGCATGCCAGAGTAGCCGCATGACACACAAGACTCATGCTGCACAGCGTCAGTTTCAAGACTCTTCATACGGGCAGCAATCCTTCATGGTAATTCGCTTTTGCTCTTCTGCTGATCGATTAATGCTCAGGTGAGTTCCTGCCGGTCAGGATGTCTGAAGCAAATCCCCCATATGTACAAGTTTGTGCTGGGCCCAATATCACCAGCAGTCTTGATCCAATCAACCATGCACTGGAACGCCTATCTGCCTCTATCGAAAGACCAGTCTACCCGGTCCACCAATGCAAGTCCGGCGCCCGAACCTGAAACGCAAGATCTGGTGCAAGAATGACAAGTCCCTTCTTTGCTGATGACGGCAATCATGCCTTGACCTCATACTTTCGTCGGAACATCTCGTCGACCTCGGTCAGGTAGTATGTTCCCGGCACAAGATGCTCGACATCACCCGATGGTTTGAAATCCTTCTTGAGATGGGCCTTTTCTCGGAGCATACACATTTCGTCATACACTTCAGGTGCAACGACCCGTCGGGCGTCTAGTCGTTCCTGAAGATTGAGCTTTGTGGCCATTTCTGTCGTGTCACCAACGACCTTTAGGCTAAACATGGAGCTAGCGAGACCACTGCCGTAACTGAAGACTCCAACTCTCTTGCCATGAAGTGTTTTCGGGGCAATATTGCTGATCAATCCGACAAGCCCACCGTAAACGCTGCCACAGTACATGTTACCACACATGGTGGCCACTTGAATGGCAGGCTGCACTCGTTCGGCAAAGCGCTTCTTTGTCAAGGCCATAAAGGTCTTCTCGACAGTCTTGTCCGTCAGAGATGCCTGGTAGTCCAAATCCCGCAGCTCGGGTGCAACCTCCTTGAACTGGGGGTGGCTTGGATCTTCGAGGAAATCGTTGTACAGCAGCCGGGCGTAGGATTTGGAGACAAGTTTGCAGGTGGGGGCGTGGAAGGCCATATAGTCGAATCGATCCATAGGTGCCTTCTCGTCATCTTCCTTGTGCGCGCTGTTTCCATTAACATGCGCATGTCCATTGACGCCATTAGCCTGTGACTTGAGTGCTTTCTCCCGGGCATTGTACGCTCTGTAGCATGCATCAACGGCCTCGGTGTAGCACCTCAGGGAAAATTGTCCGTCAACATAAGGATATTCACTGGTCAGATCAGGCTTGTAAAAATCGTAGGCATGGGTGATGTAGGAACCCCGGAGACCAGCTTCGAAGACAACGGGAGCATCTGGGCCGATCAACATGGCCACGCAGCCGGCGCCACCAGTTGGACGAGCGTTCCCTTTCTTGTAAAGGGCAATGTCGCCGGCAACCACGAGAGCGTCTCTTCCGTCCCATGCAGATGATTCGATCCAGTTGAGAGAGTTGAAGACTGCGTTTGTACCGCCACTGCAGCGCGTCAGATTCCCGCCCCTCTACACTGCAACAATCGTCCAGAACTTACTAGCAAGCATTGTACGAGTCGACGCCCTCAACGTTGAAGTTGCCCGACTCTTCGAATAGTTGCATCAACACTGATTTCACACTTTTGCTCTTGTCCAGCATGGTTTCTGTGCCAACTTCTAGCCTCCCAACATTTTTCAGATCGATAGAGTACTTTGAGATCAGACTCGTCAGAGTGGTAAGGGCGATGGAATAAATGTCTGCACTTGGATTAGTCGAGTCTCAAGTTGGGCATTTTGGGAAGCTTTGCCACTCACCTTCTCTGTCGTCGCAGAAGGACATTCTTGTCTGCCCCAGGCCAATGGTGTATTTACCGGCCGAGACACCGTCGAACTTCTCCAGATCGGCTTGGTCCACGCACTTTGTATGAATTAGCGGCTGTTCAGTTCAATAGCCATTCTGCTGTTGTTCTGGCATACCTGACTTGGAAAGTAGATTTCAATGGCTTTGATGCCGATGTTTTGAGGTCGCGAAGCCATGATGTTAGTGGCAATGTGTTCCTTCAATCCAAGATATGTCTGTGGGAGAGTGAAGAAACTCCAGAGGACGTTTTATTGTCGAAGAGTAAAGGAGGCGGTGAGGTGGGGAGACCAAGGATTGATAAATATTCCTGAGGGGAGGGAGATAATTTTGGTGGGGATGCGCCAAACAAAACGGAGGATGTTGGTGTTGAAGGTCGCAGGAAAGTCACTTCGTCTGCTACCTCAAGGTGTTGACGACTGGGAAGGTAACAATTAGTAGTAGAGAGATTTCTTAAAGTCTTTGCGGTGAGAGTAACAGAGATATCGAGATGCTTTTGTAGCGACCAAGCAGCCAGGCATGTACTCAGTACCTGACAGCAAATGATGGCAGCAGAAGCCCACAAATTTCGACAGGCGAAAAGTGTCGGAGCCCTGTTGGGGGAGGACGACTGCAGCTAGGGAGCCTTTAAGCACGATTAAGTTCTAGTCTAGCGCTTAGTTCATGCCTAAGGGTACCTAAAACAGCCAATGGTAGAGCCTTGTCTGCGGGCGGTGTGGCTGCGGCGCTGGAATTGTGGTGGGATGATTCGGGAACTGGAAAAGCAGATTTGATGTTCCTGCATGATGCCACTCTCTCTAGCCAACCCAGAGTAGAAGGTTCCGCGGGAAATTTTCTGACCTATGGCTGGTTGGTAGCACGAACATCGTTCTACACGGAACTGTCAACTCCGGCATCACTCGTACTCATATGAACCCATTTCCCCTGAAATCAAAGGGATGGATTAGAATCATTCCTGTGGGTCGAATCTCTCGTGCTTGATTGTGGCTGTCTCCGAGGTGATGCCACGGTTTAGTTACACGATGGTTCAATCCCTGTTATCGCCCTCTTTAACCCCCCAAATACATAGCCCAATCTATACCTCGTACTTGGTACCTCTAGAGATCTGTCTTCTCTATCCCCTATTACCCGTTCTCGTCTAATATGCTGCAGGCATAACACTAAGTCGTCCACCGTCCGTAACCACAACACATCCATTGATGTATGCACCGGCTCGCGAGCAGAGCCACAAGATGACTCCTGCCATGTCCTGCTCATCGCCAGTTCTGGTCGCAGGGACGACCTCTCTGTTGAAAGTGCCCTCAACATTGTGAATCTCGGTCTTCCCTTGAGCTTGGTACATTCCATGGGTCATTTCCGAGTAGTAGAGTCCCGGAGCGATTGTGTTCACTCTGATATCATAAGGAACGAGGGCCGTTGATAGCTGTTTGGAAAGAAACATCACCCCAGACTTACTAGCACCATAGCTGAGATTGCCTAAAGGCTTGCGATTGAACCCTCCAATAGACCCCGTGGTGATAATCTGAGGACGAGGGGTGAAGTTGTCCTTTGTAGGAGCAGGTCTCCTTTTGTTGGCCGCATCCAGAAGTGGGAGGAATGCCGCAATAGTGAAATGAACACCGGTGATATTGATGGCATATGTCTGCGTCACCTCCTCCGGTTCAGGCTTCCACATGTTCGTAGCAAGTTGCTCAATGGATACAGGGTTCTGGTTGGAATCCAGCGTCGGCACTGATGGACCTGATATCCCGCTGTTTGCCACGAGGACATCAATATAGTCGACCTCTGCTTTGACCTTTTCAAAGCACTGTTGAAGCGAAGCCTTCGAAGTCACATCTCCAACCAGGGGAATGATGGTGCCTCCCGGTATAGAATCAGCGGTCTCCTTCAAGCTGTTTTCACGCCGGCCGATGATAAAGACTTTTGAGGCTCCATTGGCTGCCAGTGCTCGTGCCATCATGCGACCGAGTCCTGGAACGGGCGTTAACATGCAGAATCTGCCGACTGAGGTCCTACCGTACCTGAGCCACCGCCAGTGATCACGGCCACGAGGCCATTGACATTGAACAGATTTCCCGCTTCAAGCTTGGGAATATCGACAGTAGACATCTCGACCTAGGCGGTGAGGAGGATCCACAGAGACTTAAGCTGTTTGAGTATCGAGAGTAGACGTGTCAATAAACTTGAGATGGTTTTGAAGCAGAAGCCTATAGAGATAGATCCAGAGTTATCGTGACAATTAGCAATCAAAAAGATTGATGATTATGTCTATATGGACCCCTACATAGGTATGTAAGCGTTGACGTGAGGTCGGACATCCTCCGTCCGATAAAGTCGTAGCACGGCGTAGTTCGGTTGTTCTTACCGAGTAGACGACGAACCATTGATTGAATGGTCTTGTTTTCCACCACGGGCAATACACTAGCAGTTCATTTCGCTTTCATGTCCTCAGCTATATTGTACTTCGACGCTCAAGGTTAATCCACCATTAGCCTAACATGACCGACCGACCGCTAATTCTGTGAGCTTGGGCGAAAGTATATCCCAGACGATCAATGCCACCAAACCGCAATGTTCTTACAACCTCAGTCGCATAATCTGGTCGGTCTATGAGAGCTTTTAAGACACAGAACCCTTCCCCACCCCGTGAGACTGCGCAAATAGGACGTTGATGAACGCAATACGCCACCCAAGCTTCCTCTTTCTAATGTCTTCCAAACCCCAGCTTGCCCTTGAGTCTGTGGAGTCCCTTCCCTGGCTCGTAGCTCTCCCCACGGTCACCACTCGTCTGTGCGTGAGAGCCGTCCGGTAATGTCCCGGGGCTGACGTCCCGCTCTTCAGCAGGGCGTCTTGTCGGCGCGCTCAATGGGTTGACTCTTGTCTCGGAGGTTTTGGTGGAGGCAGTTTTCTGTGCCCCCGAAGCGCTCGAGGCAGGGGCGTTCGTCGGCTGTGAAGATGTAGTGCTTTCTGCGATGACAATGGGTTCAGTATGGAGATGCTGCAGAACGGATGCACACAACTTTACCTCCTGCATTCCCTTTATCGTATGGCTCTGTCGCTGTGCCTTTGCCCTGCACGCCTGATAGAGGTTCTTGATCTGAACGGAGGGCGGTGTTTTCTGCAGCAAGCACACACTCAGTCAGGAGTGCACAACAGGGTGTGTCCACTGGCTGCATACCTGGTGCGTTTCCTTGGTCATACGGCTCATCCAATGTGCCTTTGCCCTGTATGCCTGAGGGTGGTTCTTTGCCTGATTGCATAACGCTCGTGCCCATGACTCTTAGCTTTAGCGTGTGTCAATGTTTGGTGAATGCTGGTGGTGGAGCAGAGTCAACAGTCGTTGAGAGTAACGAGTTGGAATCCGCACAGGGACCAGGTGAGAAATAGCGAAACTTGGGGAATGTGTTTTTGGCGAAGGCGCAAGGTGGACGGGCTACCCTTCTCTGACAAAAGGAAGTTCTACGGTTACAACGGCGCAGTCTTATCAACGGCCCAGATCTACCTCGCTTCCTCTCACCCTCTTTGACTTTTGGATCTCGGCGACTTGCATCAGTCGGCGCCCATGTCTTGTGAGGCGCAGGAATGAAGGGGGGAGGGGTGGACAATCCTATTTTACGTCATACTACCACACACTACCACACACGTGGAATTTGATTTGTTGTGTATGTTGTACGTCACAGAACCACCGGCTTGGGTGATCCTTGATCACCTGGTACTTAGGATCATCATATCGTATCCTTGGAAAAGGGTTACCTATATTCGGGGAGGATACTTGGATTAAATCCGGTTGCCCGTGTTATAGCAGGGAATAGTGATTGGCCTGCAATATAGACAAGCACTGGGCGCAGGGGGCGACCAAGACTTTCACGGTTGGCTAGGATCTGGTATGGGGTGTTCTCTGTAATGGCTGCTTCTAGTAACCGCCTTTTATCTTGAGATGGGCATCTTAACAAGTTCATAGAAAAGAGGATACCTAGTAAGGACGAAACAATCTCGCTGGAGATGCTGGTCGCGGGGCAGGAGCATTAATTAGTCTAAAAGCGGCGAGTCTAAGCGGCGCAGTCCTCCCCCCTTCATCGCGCTGACGCGCCCCATATTATTAACAAAACTTTTTCCCCCAAGCCAGTAATTGAAGTTTTGAACTTACCTCGTACATGCATGCATAGAGTAGATACCCTAGCCCTACAACTCGGTCCCCTTTATGCTCATCATCAGTCAAGTTTCCCATCCACAATCTTCCGGGTTCAACTCTCCCTAGCGCAATGACCACAGACATTCAGGGCGATGTTTGTGTCGACTGTCAAGAGCGTCCCGCCAGCCTGGATATCAGACACCGGCGCCTATGTGCTACATGTTTCATCCGATATGTAAACTCCAAAATCCTCAAACGAATGGAGTCGTATCGCTTCAAAAATCTTGCGGGAGATCAAAAGCGCCGGCTCTTTCTCCCAATCTCTGGCGGCGTCTCTTCTCTTGTTCTGTTACAAGTGCTTGATGCTCAACTGCGCAAGCAAATGGAGAATCGCAGTCGAACTGCTTACGACCTCATCATCGCTCGGGTCGTACTGCCTGACATCGAGACTCGGGCTGAGGTCGAGGAGCACTATCAGGCAGTCCGCAGCAGGTTTCCTTTGCACGACTTTCTCCCACTCTTCTATCTCCATGATGTCTTCCGCTTGGACGAGAAAATTGACCGATCCCTCACGCATCTCGGGATTGATCGTCACGAAGGCGAAGAAAATGAGACGTTTTTGCACCGCGTGCTCTCCTCTTCTACATCCGTGACCGCACGAGCAGACTTGATATCAATCCTTCTCCGGAGACTACTGGTCTCAATTGCCAAACAACAAAGCTGCGAGGCTGTGCTGTGGGGCCATTCAGATAGTCGTTTGGCAGCGCTGGCACTGGCAGATGTTGCTAAAGGTAGAGGTGGGTCAGTCTCCTCAACCATTGCCGACGGACCGTCCGTGTATGGGGTCAATTTTAACTATCCCTCGCGTGACCTGTTCAAGGTTGAGCTTCAGACTTATTCACAAGTCTTGTCAAACCCTTTGGTGGTAGAGTCGATGGATGAAATGACAGATCGTCAACCTTCAACCATTCGCAATACCTCGATTGACGACCTCCTCAGCAACTACATCATCGGTCAGGGAGTAAAATACCCTGGTATAATGGCAAACGTGGTGCGAACAGCGAGTAAACTCCAAGTTAAGACCGCTAACCACGAGACAAACACTTGCCCAGTTTGCGGAATGCCGGCAATAACAGATCACGAGAGCTCATTGGGAAATACTGTTCTTTGCTACGGATGTGCGAGGGTGAAGCAGGATATTAAACCTCAAGATTCCCCCGGACATGGAGGCTCGTGAATCCCCACACGATCTCAGTACCCCGTATCTTCTTTCTGGACCCTTTGACAAGGAGGAAGAGGAACGCTCAATGTTTGCCATCGCTCTGACTGCCGAATTTCAAATGTAATATCATATCAAGGTTGAGCACGGCTTGCTCTCACAACGGGCAAACTCAACGGGTCCGAGCAGGCATCGGCGGAGGTACACCTTCTGCAGCTTCGACGTCTCGTTGCCTCTCTCGATTTGACCTCCTGGACTCTCGTCGTGAGGTGTATCTCGGGGGAGGACCGTTCTGGGCATTCAGTCTACCCTCCTCGTTCTGGTAATCGAACTCATCTGGAAGACTCGGGTCTGCAACATTGGCCTGCGGAGTACCCTTAATCCTCTTCTGGCCACGCGCACGCAATTCCTTTTCGAGCAGAACCACATTTCTGGTGTTGCACTTATATGCCGCATCCACGAGGTCACCGACAAAGGGGACCAACCCAACCACGAAGTCAATGAGAACATTCATTTGCATGCGTGTTTTGATGGATGCGGATAATTGTGGTTCGACGGAGCAGCAGGTGCGGTAGACCATCAGTGCAAGGAAGAGGTCCAGGAAGTCACCGATACTAATAATCGTCAGCGTCAGGCACTGCATATGTGTCCTGGGGAATCAGCCCTCGACTTACCCAGGTATCAAGCCAATGACCGCGCCCCAGCCGAATCTTGTACCCAAAAAGCTTCCCAGGCAAAGGTCGACGCGATAGGCTCGTCGTTTCGCCTTGGTAAGAATCTTCTCCTCTTCTGGGGTCAGGCCTGGAGGGAGAGCTCTTCTTCGCTTCTTTGTGGTTTTATAGAGTCCTCCGAGCCTGGTAGCGGGTATTGTCTCGAAGAAGGGATCCTGTGTCATGTTAGGGGGAGACCGGGCTCTTGATTTTAAGTCCCATACCTCACGGCCGCCTTTGTTGGCTGAATTCTCTTTGAATAGCTTCTTGGCTACCAGCTTTGCGGCGTAAGATGTCATCTTTGCGACGTCTGTTGTTGTGAGGCGTGAATGGCAGGGAAGTCGAAAATCAGGTGGACTGTAGGACGGGTGAGGGAGGAGGGCTGGTGAAGGTCTTAAATGCTCACAAAGACCACCCTAATGATATCTGTGGCTTTATGTCCCTGCAGATTTAGCCTTGCCAAACAAAGATAAGATGAGTCGCAAGAACAAAGTGCTGTCAGAAGCCAGGATGGCTTGCGGTAAGTGATTGGCATTTAGATTCTGGCAAACGGGTTTTCTACGCGCTGCATTTCCCTGACACTCTCCCTGCGCCCGCATGCGCGCCAACGTCATTCAATTCGTCATTTAGTGGCTGTGCCAAAACACCAGCCACAGCAACTCTGCACAGCCACCGACCTCGAGAGCTAGACTCTCTTCTCTTGCGCGTGTCTTACAGTCACCGTAGCAAACCATACCCCTCAGATCTGACTGGCCAAACGCCCATTCACAACAGCATCGCAACATTTGAACGTGAGGCTGTAACCTCTGCAGTCCCGTTTGTTCCCGGACCGTGATTCTTGCCTCCCGCAATCTCCAGCGCAGTGGAGATGAACAGATATTCCCGTCCAACAACAAACTCGAGAGATGCAGCTGGAGGACTGTGAGACGCCTCACCTGGCGTGATTTATTGCTTGAGATGCTAACACTCCATGTTGCCAGGGTTGGATGACCTCTGTGTCCGATTCATCATAAACCTCCCCCCAGAGGAGCTGGAGTCTGTGGAGCGCATTTGCTTCCAAGTTGAGGAGGCACAATGGTTCTATGAAGACTTCATTCGGCCCCTTGACCCGTCTCTCCCATCTCTTTCTCTACGCGCCTTCAGCCTACGCATCTTTCAGCACTGTCCGCTTTTCTCGCAATGGTCTGCCCAGCACCATACCACCGCTTTCGCGGAGTTCCTGGCCTATAAATCCCGCGTGCCTGTCCGAGGCGCTATTCTGCTAAATGAGTCCATGGACGAGGTTGTCCTCGTGAAAGGCTGGAAGAAGAGCGCAAACTGGAGCTTCCCCCGTGGGAAGATCAACAAGGACGAGAATGATCTTGATTGTGCGGTGCGGGAAGTCTATGAAGAGACCGGTTTCGACGTTCGTGAGGCTGGCCTCGTTAAGGACGAGAAAGATATGAAATATATCGAAGTTACAATGAGAGAACAGCACATGAGACTGTATGTTTTCCGAGGAGTACCCAGAGATGCACATTTCGAACCCAGGACACGGAAAGAGATCAGCAAGATCGAATGGTACAAATTGACAGATTTGCCCACGTTGAAGAAGAATAATCATCGCCAGCATGACGGCAGTGGTACGGACCACACGGCCATCAACGCAAACAAGTTTTATATGGTGGCACCTTTTTTGAACCCGCTCAAGAAATGGATAGCTCAGCAGCGAAAGAAGGAAAACCGGTACAGCTCACACCTCGCAGCTCCCCCAATGGTGCCGGAGGATGTGACAACCGAAGACGAACAGAACGGCATTGGGGCACGCCTTGGAGAGTCCTTACCACCGGCCATCAGTGATCTTCCTGAAGTCTCTGAGTCTAATGTTGTCGACCCAAGCTCACATCTTAAGGAGCTTCTCCATATTGGAGGGCAAGCTGCACCGCCTCAAGCAGCATTGCCACCAAGTCATATGCCGCAGGTTGACACTGAAAAGTCCAATGCTCTTCTGGCCCTTCTGCGAGGAGACCTGCAGAACCGGTCCGTCGCTACCGTACCTCGAACTCCACTTGAACAAATCTCGTTGCCGCCCGAGGTTCAACAATCGCCGCATATCTCCCATGTACGACAGCCACAGATAGACCAAGCCCAGCCCCCACCTCCGTTCCAGGCGCAGTTTCAAGGCAATGTGGTTTTGCCCGCACAGCAAGCCCCCCCGAGACCAGATTCGACAGCCATCTCGAATGCTGCCGCTTTTCCCATCCAGAACATGCCACGAGTCACACCTTTCCAAAGGACTTCCGATCCATTATTTGCGCCTGATGGAACCACACAGCACGGACGAGCGACCATTCCCCCAGCCAGTGCGTTGCCTAAGCTGACCAACCACACAAAAGCTCTATTGGATGTTTTCAAGGGAGCGACGAGCCCAACTATTCAGCCAGCACCTCATTTCGAGTCGTCGACCGCGAACACTTTGGGCCGGGTTGAGGCATCGCAGCCAGCCCAGGCGCAAACGCAAAGTGTACCGACCGCCCTTCCACTCACGGACAATCACGCCGTCCAAGGACCTGGCAATATTCTACCCCCCTGGTCTTCAAACGCACCGTTACAGGGTTCCGCAAATGCGGGCATTGCAAGCCAGGCATTCCCTGTGCTGCCTTCCAGACGACCTCAGAGTGCACAACAGTCATCCCTGCTCCAGCTTTTTACCCAACCATCACCGCCCAGGCCAACGGAGAGCTCAATCGTTCTACATCCACCGCCAGTGGAACTCGCAGCGACGGCTGCTCCTACTCCGTCTCATAACTCGAAACTGAACAAGGAGGACCTTCTGTCATTGTTGGGAAAGGACGTTCAAGAAGTAACACGAAAAGCGGCCGAGATAAAACGACCCTCTCCAAAAGAGGGCGAAACGTCTGCTACTATCAGTGGCCCGTTGAATCAACCGGAATTTGAAGTGGTCTCCAGAGCGAGCAGGCATGCGACGAACGAGATGGGCCGCAGTCCGCTTCCTGCCAACAGGACGCTGTACGATCCCAATCAACCTACACCGGTCAAGATTTTGACGCGTTCAGAAGAGTCTCGCTCTCAGCCTCCACGGTCTCCAAGAGTGCCCAAATCTACCTCGAGGCGGACAGCGAGGGACAGGGCAACCCCAAAGGAGCAAACGAAGCCGTTCCAGCCTCAAATTCTTCGTCGGCCGCAGAACACGGAAGCAGCCGTCGCTGGTGGAGTCGCCACTGGGAGCGAGACTCCAAATCAGCAGCCGGTTTCGCTGGCTGCGGCTCTATCACCTCCTCCTGAGGCAGACTTTGGCGAAAAATCGACACCGAGCCGGAAACCTTCCCAAACCGAGGCGCAGAAACAAACGTTGCTGTCTCTGTTTGGTGGAGGACCGGACACTACGCCTAGGGCAACAACAGTACAGCCTAGTTCGGGCATAGTGTCGCCTTTGACATCTAGTCAAATCCTGAACACCAATGGAGAGGTGCCACTCTCCGGAACTGAACCCATTTCCACACGGACATCCCGTGTGGGAAGCATGACATCAATTATGAGTGGGCCAGGAACAGGGCGTGCTGCGGGTGAAAAGCGACAGACAGGCGCGGAGAACAAGGCGTTCCTCTTGGGCTACTTGGGCAGAATCGCAAGCCAGGAGCAATGAAATGTTTGGACTTTATGATTGGACTGAGCATGAAGGAAGCTGGGCACAAGCTGGCGGTCTGGGATGTTCGGAGAGCACATGTGCGACGTTGTGCGGGAACCAGGACGAGTCAAACGCGGACCTATACGAGCGGGTTCGTATTCGCATCGGCCTTGTGTAAGCGGGGCTTCTGGGCTCTCTGGCTTCTGCAATTTCTCTCATGATACTCCCGCATTAAAGGCATAATTTGTGCACTAGGAGCATCGGAAAACATGGTTATTTTTGCCTCCGTCCTTCCGTCGGCATGGAAGAGAAAATTTTCCATTCTGGTCCCCGCGAGGATATGCTCTTTGGACCTGTACCACGACGAAAGCAGTAAAAGGCGCGAGTGTGTTTGTAAAAAATTCGTGGAGTCGTAGGGAGCCAATTGAAGAGGTTGGCAGATGATGAGCTCAGCTGCATGGAGGGATGATTCAAGCAGTGAGTGGTTCGAAGGGTACCCAACGAGGCTAGCTGAAGGGTTTACTCTGGACGGGCCTTGACTTTGTATCTGTCCGCATAAGTCAGATACGGGATAAGAAGCAGTTCGATGAGTAGGTAGAGTCAAGTGGAAGCAGGGTGGCGCTTCGGATCCATAACAAGCTCACCGATGTTTGTGCTTGTTTCCTGACGATCAGGTTTTC